GAGAGAGAGAGAGAGAGAGAGAGAGAGAGAGATCATTCGTGTGCTTTTTACTATAATCGTTGACATAACTATCATGATGAACTTTTACAAGAAGTTACCTTATGCTGAGTTATTTGGCAAATCAAGAGACGACAAGGAACAGAGCAGGAAGGACTCAGAGAATAAAAGACAGACAGCAAACCAGTCGACGTTCAGACAGACAGGCAGACAGACAGATAGACAGACAGACAGACAGACAGACAGACAGACAAATGAAGTGGAAGGTTGGCGGGTGTTCCGGTGTAGTTTGCTCCTTTTTTCATATGAAACATGTATCGTCCTTATCTCTCCTCCATCTTCGTTGAGCATGTTACTCTCTTGTAACACACCTATTCTTCGGCACTTGGAGAGTCAAAAAGTAATGCAAGTTCTTTATAACTTAAACAAAAAAGGACCCACTGGCAACTATCATACCTCAAATTGAAGGGGAACATCTGAGGATCAGATTTCTATATCTCAACATAGTCTCCATTTTGTTCAATAGCCACGGTCCACCTTTTACTAAGCCCACATAATATGCTAGCTGCGTAAAACTGAGCAGGTTGGTCTTTGGGGTACAGCAGTCTTGAATTCTCCATCGTGTCCATAGTGTTGACCTCCATAGTGTTGACCTCCATAGTGTTGACCTCCATAGTGTTGACCTCAATGATTCTTTCCGAGGCCCGAACAGGTGGAAGTCTGAGTGTGCCAAATCTGGAGAATCAGCTGGGTGAGACAGTGCTTTCCTTTCATTGTTTCCCTTGTTGTGGTATTCGTGTGCTGGCGGGCAATGTCATGGTGAAAAAAAACATTCTTTCCATTTTCAAATTTGGTTCGACTCGTCGAATTTTCGCTTTCAGTCGTTACAGTGTTTCAATGTAGGCTTCAGAATTGAAAATTGTTCCTCGCGGTAAAAAAAATTGTGAGATGCACTCTATGAATGTCCCAAAACACAGTTGCCATGATTTTTTTCTGCTGACTCTTTGGGACTATACTTGTCTGACAAGCACAAGGGCATCTCTTCCTCTTCTTCTGGTCCATTGCTCAAACGTCTAACCCATCTATAAACAGTTTCAAAATCTAGAGCTTGGTCCTTGTAAACATTCTGAAGTCTGTTTTGGATGTTACCGATGTATTCTCCTTCTAAAACAAGAAAGTCAATCACAGCTCTTTGCTTCTGACAGTCCCCGAAGGAGGCAGCCATTTTGATGTGACGTCATTCAGGCAAAAATCAAGAAACTTAAATTTTAACAGTTTGAGTTCAAAAGTACATGTGCAAGCACTCGTGAACTGAATTTCATATAATTTGAGGCAAATTTGTGCAAAATAACGAACAACTTGCATTTATGATAATAATAATAATAATAATAATAATAAATAGCATTTAATTTGTATAGTGTATATCCCCGCTCAACAGCAGGCTCTATGCGCTTTACACTATATTATTACCCCAGCAGACCATAGAACACTCAGAAACATTCTCAGCTTCCCGGGAAGCATACAGTGCAATCAGCTGATTAAGCGCTCAAACACTAACAAACCGACAAGAACTTTCGCTGTCTATAGCCGGGTACCCATTCCCACCTGGGTGAAGTGAGGAAATTCGTGTAAAGTGCCTTTTCCAAGGACACAACGTGGGGCACCTGACGCGATTCGAACCCACGACCTCACGGTTGCGAGTCCGAGAGCCTAACCACAAGGCTACCGACGCATTACTTTTTTACTCTCCGTAGTATATGACCTTATTGTGCTGCGAGTGAGTATTAAAACTAAAAGACAAATTCAGCCAAAATAAATAATGATTAAAAATGCCGTTTAGTTGTACGGGTGAGGACAGACTCAATATTACAGAGTGATCTTCCAATGTAAGTAACCGATGTTTGTTCTCTCCCACAGCATCCCCGCATTATCGCCAAAGTTATGGGCCTGTGCCCCACTGTGGTGAGTTGGTTTTTCTAACAGTATTCACAGTACATGTACCAGTTTAATTCATTGAGGGAGCTCTCCTTCTAGTCATTCAACAAAGCTTGAAGGCGCTCTGTTTTGGGAGAATTTAAACAAAGAAGTAGACGATTCATAATTCGTTTTGAATTTTCAGTTCTATTTTTTAAAACATTAAATTTAAAAAATGCAGACACTAACATCCATCCAATGAAACACACAGATTATTTTGTTGTATTTGTGTCCAATGGTTCGAAATGTACTGCTACATTGCCTTTGGTCTGCTTCAGTTCTATGTGGCCGCTACACCCTTAAAGAGTTAATACTTTAATAATGCCAAGTGTTATTGAACATCATTTCGAGGTGGAGTTGATAACATTAATAGATTGGGTTTGGGGTGATTCTGGGTAGGTTGTGGCAGTTAATGTGCCGTCACGATCATCGTTTGTGAGCACCCTCACGACAGACGAAAAACACAAGCAGACAGTCGTGAGAACAGAGGGCAAACGTGTTTTCAAGCTGCCCATGTGGCTAAACTCTAAATACTGTAAAAATGTGAGGCAGCGTGGTGGAATCAGGCTCTCATCAAAATACTCAAAGTGAAGAAACTTGCATTTTCCCGCAGGTTTGTGAATTTTTATTAAATTTTTGTATTTTGGCTCAACACCTTTCATGCTCATTAAAGAACTCATTTCTATGTGGATTTTTCTGAAAAACATTGATTAAAGGCACAAAAAAGTACATTTTCAGTTACCACGGACTCTTAAGCTAAGGAAATAACTAATCTTTGGCGGCCATTTTCTCACTAATTTTACCTCTGAAAACAGTGACCCCAGCTCCTTCAATTGCAAATATCTCGACTTATATTCAAGAAAAATGGATATTTATAAAATCCAGATAAAGACATGTGAACAAGCTTTAAGATGATACCAATAACTCTACATGCTCAAAAATTGACGAGAGCCTGATTCCACCACGCTGCCTCACAAATTGTACTGGGTCTATATGTTAGTCATTGTATGCCTTGGACTGAAAGCAGTAGCTGATATTGAGTACTATTCCTCTCCTCCGAGTGGTAGATCTGAAACACCTCGGTGACTATGGTTCGCCACTAATTTCTTGGCTCAGATGCTCCTTTAAGAAAAAAAAGTAAAAAGAAAGGTCATCCTGTCGTTCAACTTTTCTTTGTAAGTTAACCCGCTTTCTTTTTTTTTTGGGGGGGGGGTTTGTTTGGTTTTAATACACGATGTCCCAAAAGTCACCAACCATTCTGAAAACGTTCGTAAAAGTTGCGCACCATCCAGTTGATGGGTTGAGGGATGCAGTAACTACAGAGTGCCAAAAGACCACTCCAGAAATACCTAGGCGTGTCAAAGACAGCTCTCTTGGAAGAGCCAGTGCTTGCTTTGTTGCTGAGAGAGCTCAGTCTGAGAACTTAGGATTGAGTAATATCAGTCAAACTGTTTTTGATGAATACCAGGGTGGTAAGCAATTTTTAGGATTCTCTGTCCTGTAAAAGAAGTAAGCTGTTACTCCAAAAGAACTAATTGCTTTTCCTTGTATGTTTTTCTTTTTTGGTCATTAGAAAGAGCCCAAAGTGTGCACGGATTGCAAGGTTTTCATGAACGACGTGAGGGATATGCTGATCGGACCTGTCGTCAAGGTTTGTTTGTTTTAGTAAGGTTTTACGGCACTCACAACCGCATAATAGGACATATGAGCGCCAAGTGGTGGATGTCAACAGAGAAGTCCGAACGGGAAATCAGGCGTACTCTGCTCATCTCTCTAGCCTCAACAGCACAAAGTCTGCTTCGACTATCGAGGCACCCCGGGAATAGCAGTACACAGGAGAGTGACAAACACACAAAAGAAGTTAAGGATAAATTATGACAATAGCAAGGATGAGGAAAGAAAAAGGAGCAGTTCCCCTATTTTGTCCCGGCATTGTAGGAGCATGACATTGAGAAATCAACCCATTTATAATTCAACTGTGCCTAAGAACATGTTAACCCTCCCCCTCCTTTTGAGAGAGAGAGAGAGAGAGAGAGAGAGAGAGAGAGAGAGAGAGAGAGAGAGAGAC